CCTCTCCGGGCCTCCCCCCACCCCTCGCGCTCGTTACCCGCCTTGGCCAAAGAAACTCTTTGCCCCGCGAGGATCGGTCCCACTGTTGCGCCGTCGGAGGAGACGCGGTGCCCAACGTCCAGTCCCGCCTAGGTCCCCGCTGCCTCACCACCTTGAGAACATGTCCCCTCTGTAGCTTCAGGGCGCAGATCCTGGGGAGAGCCCAGCATTTTCGCGCTCCCGGCCCAGCCGCTGCGTCCACCCCCAATCACTGCGAGTTGTAATGGCTTCGAGACCCTGGACCCAGGCCCAGATAGTTCGCCGTTTGTGCCCCCAACCTGTCGACAGCTGTCCGAGACCCAAAGGAGAAGAAATTACAATTAGAGCTCATCTCCCTTACTTCCGTCTGCGCCAAGCGTTGACCCTTTAGTTTGTGAGCAGCAGCTGTACTCGCCGCTGCCCACTTCTCGAATTACACACCGGGCACGACACAGCAAACATATACAACGCAGTAAACACAAGCACACAGCAAGAAACAAGCACACAACACAGTAAACACAAGCGCACCACAGGAAACAAACACAACACATGAAATATGCACACGACACAAGAAAGTAAACACATAAAACACAGTAACATAAACTACGCACGACACAATAAACACAGGCACACAACTAAACACAATAGAGTAAATACACATAACAGCAAACACCCACAAATACAAAACATGCCAAGAGCACTTTTAGCCCGTGTTCACAAAACACCCACACAACACACTAAACACATAATACACTAGACACACAGTATCAGGGTGGTTTCCAAATCACTAGGCTAATCAGCTTTGAATTCTCAACATTTTCAAATGCAAAAGTCGTGTTGGGCAGTGCTGATGCTGAATGGGGACTGTGACATGGAATTCTCTTTCCTCTGAACAGCCAAGGCTTTACTCTCTTCTACTCCTACCCGGAGAAGGTAAAGCATGTAGTGACCTCAGGGACTGCTTACCCCTTAAGGATTTACTTCCAGGGGTGCGTGTGAAAGTCCTCCCGCCTTCTGTCTGGTGCGAGGTCTTTCTAGACATAATGACCAGGTTCAGGCAAGGCTATAAATTCACTCATTTTTCCTGCAAGGCATTTGCAAAGAATGCAGGAGAGTGAGAGTGGAAAGAAAAGGCAGAGAGAAAGATGGCTGTGATTGTCACATCCCTAGCCGGGCCAAGCCCCAAAGTCTGCGCCTTGAGGCAGCCTCAGAGCCTGGCCGCCATCTCTCTGTAGGAAACAGAACATCTGATCAAGTTCAGAGGCGCCAGGAGAGACCGCCTCAAGCAGCGCTTTATAACTGCAGCCTTTCACTTCCTGCTCCCCAATCTGCCTGGCCCAGTCAACACTTCACCTTCTTTCTTAGCCAGTTTGCTGGGAGAAAACCCTACCGGTAGCACATCTTACCGTATTCACCCCCTCCCATCAAACTCGCCCCAATTCTCTCTCCACATCCAGAGCTCTCTCCCCAGGTTGGAAGGTGAGTTCACTGCTGACTTAAATTATTGCGTCTGCCGAACATAGGCTCTCCAAGAATGGTTTCAGTGCCTCTCAGCAGAGGGTTTCTTTGGGGGGTAGGGGGGCGCTGGTGTGTTCAGAGAACAAATATGCTTAAATCATGCAAATGAATCCCCTGGAGTCAGGTTTACAAAAAAAGGAGGATTGCCTTTCTTCCCCCCTCCCTTTCTTTTCACTTTCTCCTTTATTTCCTCTTTTCCCTCTACCTCTCTCCACCTCCCACTAACCCTAACAGCCCTTGGCCAAGTAGTTGGTTTGAAAAAGTTTGGATTTCCTCACTGAGCTGGTCCCGCGGACAGCGGTTCTCGAGACTGGGGGACCGGGAAGGGGCGGCTGTCGAGCTCTGGCCGAGCCAGCGCTAATGCGAGAGTTTCCGGGGAGTCCCGCCAGGTACCCCGAGAATCGAGGGCCTTGCGCGATTGCAACTGGGTGAAAGGCTCAGAAGGGGGGCAGACGAGGGAGCTCATCATGCCCCTATTTGGGAAGGGGTCTCGAGCTCAGGGCAGGGGGAAGTTGCCGCCGCTGACCTACCCGGTGCCCAGTGTCCGTTTTGATACGGCCACATTCCGATAATTAATTGCCTCCAGCACGTGCTCTGTAGTCCCTGGAACAAAAAGGCATAATTCAATTAGATCATCAACCGAGAAGTGGGGAGGTGGGGGCGGGGGATTGAATGCTTGTTAAGGGGCAGACCTGAGGCGATTCAGCCAGGCCAAAATCCCGGGCAATGGAGCCCTTCCCGGGACAGCCGGGCCCATCCCGAGAATGCGGTTCTGAGGGGGTGTTGTTGCTGTGTGGGACGCAGGGGTCCCAGATGCGCGCAAAAGGACGAGGCTGGGGGCTTTGTGAACAGCAGGGCAGAGGTAGGCCATTTCTACTTCGGTTTCAGTTGGTTTGAGTGGGAGTTTCCTTACTTGGGGAGGAGGACCCCTGACCCTTAAAAGAGGGTAGAAAGCAAAATCCCTCCAGATAAAGCTAGTTACTGCACATGAAAACGAAGCCCCCACCCCCAACAAAGCAAATCACTGCTGTTGGGGGCGGGGGGGAGCGCGAAGTTTTTCTTATAACTTAGAGCTTCTCTCCTCCCCAAACTTGATTTTCAAGAGGAGACTCTGGGAACAACTTCGGGGAACAGGGCGCTTTGGGGAGCTGAGTCTGAGAACAGAGTGGTGGCTGAAGAGGGAAAGCTAAGAGGAGAAAAGTTTTTCCTACACGCAGGCAGAGGTGAGGAGATGGAGACAACTCTCGTGTTTTCGTTTTTCAGGTGGAGACAGGAGTCACAGCTCTAGTGAGGGAGGACAACTCTAACTCAGGCGTCGTGGTTCTATAACTGAGGCTCCCTCAGCAGCTTTGGCTTACTAGGGTTTACATGTGTAGTAGGCAACGTAAATGAACCAATAAATCTCTTTTATGTGTCCCCCAGTTGTATGTGGTCCGGTCTAAATATTCACATGTTTGCATGGATAGGAAATATAATGGGATCCTTTCCCTCACACTGAGTTCAAACGGTAAATAGGAAAAAGATTCATTTTTATGCCCAAATCTAAAGTAGGAAATAAAATCAGAGAAACTGATCACTTCTAAACCAGCAAAGCTTTTGAGCCCGATTTTTAGGATCCATCTTGAAGAAGCAGTAGGGAAACAGAACGTCCTGAGGGGCAGTAGGGTAGTACCGGGTTCTTCGTACAACCCAGAGCCCAACTCCACAGCACTTTTCTCTTCCGTCGAGCCTCCAAAAAAATAGAACATATACAGCACATTGTGTTATCATGCAGCATTTCTTTCTAAACACATTTTATGTGGTGGACATGAAATTATCCTGATTCAGTGACCTAGTAATTTCCTTAAGTCCAAGGGAAACGCTGCGGTCTTTTCTTCTGTTTTGTATTTAGAAAAGACTTGCAATCTAACACTCGCAACATTTTAAAGACCCTTTAAACCCAGCAAGCGGATTTCCGTTCTGCCAAGGCTTCCTGATTTATTTCAATAAATGAATCTTTGAATCCAGGAAGGGAATTATTCCAAGACGCTGAATTTGGTGCCCCTGTGTCTCCCTAGTGGAGCACAAAGTGTTTCTCATTGCAACATGTCCTTGAAACTCACCATTATTCGCCTTTTTTCCTGGTAAATGACACTTTCTTTACATAAATCCCCACCCTCTCTTCAGAGTCCCAGATCTTTTTAAAAGAAAAACTGCAAGTGGCAATAAAAAATGAAGAGGAAAGAAAGCTGGGAAAAGAATGCATTTTTAACTTCTCTTTATTTTTATGCTAAGATAAAGCCCTTAATTGGCATCAGGGGCCAAGCTGAACTATCGATTTCCAGGACCCTGCTGACACACTCGCCAACAGAGTGTGTCTGCAGGTTGGCGAGTGTAAAAATCACACAGCTCCAGATTTTATTGGCCACATCAGAATTTTCACTATGGTCCTATCATTTGACACATATTTTATAAGCCCTAAATACCTTTAAAATTCAATCGAGAATAAACAAATAGATATTGTTAATCAACCCCCCCTTTTCATTTTTTTTGCCTTTGTCCTCTGAAATCCAAGGCATATTGTTGCCCAATGTAATGAAATGCAAACCAGACAGGAATGAGACATTTTCATTGTACTTGTCAATCAGGGCTGTGCAGACAGATATATATACATATATATACTTGAACTTCAGAGACATAGGCTGAAGTGAATAGGGCTGAACTTGAAGAAGACAGGCAGGGAGTTGAACTAGAACTATCAGAACCCAGTTTGGAATTATAAAGGGAGTCCCTGAAATATAGAAAATGCAGTGAACCGCCCCACCCAGGTGGTAGGCAGTGGTCCTCAGGCAAATCTGAGTGAAAGGCTTATGATGAGCTGTGGCCTGCTGGGTCCTGCTGCCATGGAATACCTTTATCGCTCTGGGGGTGAGCAGGTGTTAGTCCCCATCTGCACTAGCAGTGGCTCCAGGTGCCAGGAGAGCAAGACACATTGAAAGAGGACTTCTTCCTTCCTTCTAGATCAGAACACCTTGTAGGTGGGGAATGCCCCGGCAAGAGGAGAGGGAGATGCAGGCAGAGGTCAAGAT